TAGTTTGTCAAGAAAAAAGAGCTGAGAAATTACAGTCTGACCTGAACCTATCAGTGATAGTATAATACTCACTTGAACCACCACAACTTTAGAATGTTTCTCACCTGATCAACTTGCAGTTGATGTCCATATGGATGGATAATTATGGAATATGCTGTATATTAAAAGTATTTTCTCAGATTTGCGTTGAAATTGATATTTGAATGGTTTTTCTAGCTGAAAGTATGCTAGAGTTATTCAGCGGCGAAAAACATACGGAAGAAAGCAGAATAATATATAAAGAACAGGATAACATAGTGCGGATGCTGCGTTTGCATCCACATAACTACTTTGCTCCAAAAGCGTCGGAGACTTTGTAAAAGCAAAGACTACGGTTCCCGACATGCCTTACGCACCGGAAAAATATGTAGTTCACCGGATATTAGGACGCGGCGTCTCAAGAAGGCCCTTTTCCGTCTCAGAGAAGTGTGGCACACAACGGTAGAGACAAGTGAGTGAGAAATTCACTTTAAACTTGTTTTATATATCATAAAGCACGTTTATTTGGGGTTATTTGGAAGTGCTACGGATTCCGGTTACCCAAGAAATGAAAACAAAATTGCCAAGTTTAGCCTAAATGTGGTTTTATCCCCGTTAAATGCTGTCTAGCGAGTACAACTGCGCTGCGTTAGCATATGGTTAGCTTGTTAGCGCATGTGGTTGGGCCATGTTAATTAGCCATAGCGATCAGTATAGTCGTACATTACACAAAGCGTCGCGGTCGTATCATTTTAAATGTTACATTTTTCGCCATAGCAGGTGTCACAGCACTGATGAGCAGAATATCTCCAATTTTGATTTATTTCAGCCTGTAGGCCTATAGCTTACGTTAGGTAACGTAAAGCAGGCTTCAACTCAGGCCCTGCTGTGCATGGGTGGCTGTATTTATTTTTACTTTTTACAAAGTTCTGAACAGACATTATTCACCATGTACAATCATATTTAAAGTTATATGGAGCTTATCAGCTGCACAACGATATCTCAGACCCAGGGTTTTCTTTACATCTCGATTGAAAATTAACGTCGACTTGTTTAATGTGAAAAACTGCACCGATGTTGATTAACGTTACTGTAACGGGTCTGCTTAGATTTAAGTCTTTATATATTGTACGCAGATTTGTTGAATTCATTGTTAGCTTTATGTTTAAGTCAGATTTAAACATTTGGGAGTAGCAATGAACAAATGACACATCGACCAGGACCTGACTTCACATTCCAGTCAACCAGACAACCTGATGACTTTTCTCCTCCATTCAGATACTGTAACATGAACAGTGAAATAAATAGTCGTCATAAATTGGGTTAGATTTTGTTGGACATCAGGCGGTGATTGCTGCATAATTGAAACGTTTTGCAGAATCTGAGGCACTTGTATACATGAACGTTGTGTATTTTAAAAATGGCATTTCTCAAGCCTGAAGATAACATCCTGTTTTTCCACAGTGACTGAGTGGGAGACTGCCCCCGCTGTGGCTGAGACCCCTGAAATCAAGCTCTTTGGCAAGTGGAGCACTGACGATGTTCAAATCAATGACATCTCCCTGCAAGTAAGCAGCATAAAGGAACTGCTAACAAACTGAATATTATAAAGCGAGGCTAGAGTCACGCCTCGACAGTGACTTGTTGTCCTGGTGTGCTAGAGTGCTCGCAGAGAAACACGTCTTTGCTTATTCATTGGCTGTAGTCAAATGTGGCCCAGTCAATCACCAGCTCAGACACATGATCTTTTCCTACATAATGTACCGCAACGATGTTCAGCTCAAATCTGTATAAAGCTAGATCCTTAAATCACTCTATCTTCACTACAGGATTACATTGCTGTGAAAGAGAAGTACGCCAAGTACCTACCGCACTCTGGAGGACGCTATGCTGCCAAGCGTTTCCGCAAGGCCCAGTGCCCCATTGTGGAGCGTCTGACCAACTCCATGATGATGCACGGCCGCAACAATGGCAAGAAGTTGATGACTGTGCGCATCGTTAAGCATGCTTTTGAGATCATCCACTTGCTGACCGGAGAGGTATATACCAATAATTTTAACGACTGTGACAGTACTGTTTAGTGTGTGCAGCATGAAAATGACATCAAATTGCAGGTGACATTTGGAAAAGCAGCTTTGAATCATAAGCTACAGCTGTGATTTGGTCTCCAACTCATGTGTTACAAGTTTTTATTGTTATAATACCAGAGAGATGGGTCTTTTATTTTAACCTGGGAGGAACACTGACTTTTATAAGAAGCAGATTAAGTTTTGTCCTGCTCTAGAGACATTTCAGAACAAATTAATGTTAAAATAGCTCAAACTGCACTTGTGCCAATATAACAACCAAGTCAAAAACTGTCAGCTACAGAGATTGTAATATAAATAATACTTTTAGTCATGTTTTTCACTTGAATCTTTATGTAGAACATAGACATGGTTAAATGTGATATGCTGCCTTTTCCAAATGTCAGCCTTTAGACTGTATTGAAGCAGTAGTTCAACATTGATTTCTTGCTAAAAGTTGATAAATACCTTTGAACAGAGCCAGTCTGTCATTTTTTTATTAATGTAAGTATGAAAACAGCTTCTATGTGGTATTAAAAATGTCTCAAAATAAATTTTCTAAAAATAAAGTAACTTAACTGGCCTTTGTGTCAGGTAGTTGTCTACTGTATATTTTTGTTTATCATAAGTTCTTTTAAAATTCTTAATATGGTTTCCAATTGTGTTCCCAGAATCCCCTCCAGGTCTTGGTCAATGCTATCATCAACAGTGGACCCCGCGAGGACTCCACCCGTATCGGTCGTGCTGGTACTGTAAGGAGGCAGGCTGTGGACGTATCACCCCTCCGCAGAGTTAACCAGGTGACTTGATAATACTTGAACTCCCACTCAGCTGATTCAGGGTCTGTCTCGGCAGCTTTGAATCAAAATTTTACCCTGGAGCAAAGATGTTTTCAGATTTCCTGTGAATTATACCTGTTAACGGAAGAAGTTGGCTGGCTGCAGTGAACAGTGAGAAAATTATCTTTCTGTAAATTGATTCTTATTAGACCAACAAGATAATGGCAATTTTATTGTGTTAAAAATCAGGCTTTAGTTTAGGTACATTTTTGCCTCCGCACTAGAGTCTATACCGTCATATGCAGCCATGAGTTTATCATTAAATGTACCTGTAGTCATAATCAGGTGCTGTAATCTGACAAAATTGTGTATTGTTTGCATCAAGCGAGGCTAGAGTCACGTCTGGATACTGCCCATGGTCCTGGTGTGCTAGAGCTCTCGCAGAGGAAATATCTTTGCTTATTCATTGGCTGTGGTCTGTTGTGGCCCAGTCAATCACCAACTCAGATACATTTCACAGCAAGTCGGTGTTTATTGCACCAAAGTTAAATTGTGATGCGATGAGCTGTAACTAGCTGTAGACCGGAAAAGCCCGATTCAAAAACAAATCCAACATGTTTGACATTATGAAATATGTTCTGTGCCCTCCAACTATTTTTCCCAATGTTGGACTGCCTGCCTTATACACCATGTTGCTGAATAGCAGCTGAGGGAGAAATAAATCACTGCGGTTGCTGGTTAACGCAGCTTAGCGAGGAGGGGGGGGGGGCTTAGTTTGATGCAAGGGATGTCACTGCTAATGCAAACAGAGCAGAATCATTGTCATGTGAGACTGAGATTGCACAGGGATGTACATCACGCTCACAAAATGATTTATTGTACGGAACTTAATGTCCTGCTCTTTCTGTCTTGTAGGCCATCTGGCTGCTGTGCACAGGAGCAAGAGAAGCTGCTTTCAGGAACATCAAGACCATCGCTGAGTGCCTAGCTGATGAGCTGATCAATGCAGCAAAGGTAACAGCTGATCCACTGTAAGATGAGGGTCTTGTAAAGCCCCAATAGCTGCTATGAAATCAAAGTATTGTTCCTTCCTTTGTTGTGGGCATCCAGTCTCAGTAACATTAGTAGTTGTATAGTTATACTCCAATTGTAGCATGTGTTAAAGACAACACTAGTGATATTGTATGTTTATTTTCATAGACTAACCAATAATGAATTTTGTGCACTTGCGATAGTGTCTGAATTCAGAGTCTGGCTTAGCTTATTCATCTGTGTTGTAGCTGTCCAATGTTAAGAAGCTATTGAACACCAGTGAGTCACACCGCTGCACTGGGTGACATGTTTCTTCCTCCTGAAATGTGCTTCAACAAAAGAGCTCCAGAGGCCAAGAAGAACCATTTTTTGCAAGCATCTGGAGTTGAATCAAGTATGCATGTGTGTGTGATCTCTGCTCTTTACGCTATTCGGCTAGCTTCTCATGCTGTTATAGTACCAAGGTCAAGTGTTTGTCATATGCACAGTGAGGAAACATGTTTCCCTGTACAATGAAATTCTTACTTTGCCGTCCACACGAATGCCTCACACTATAAGTGAAATATAATGCAGATACAGAAGTAACAATCTCAAAAATCTTAGGCACTGTAAAACAGCCACTAATAGTTCGTGAAACTAGCAGAGATCACACAAGTGCGCAGACAACCCCCCCTTTTTTTTTAAGGTGTGGTAAAAATGTTTAAGTCATAGCTCCTATTTGAAATATGACTTACCCAATGCATTTCAGGAGGAAGAAATGTCAATCTATGCAGCAGTGTGTCTCACTGGAGGTCTATGGTCCAAACAAATTACATTTGTCTGGATGGGATTTGTAGAAAATAAGTTGTACTAGCTGGCTCATGTACAGTACATTGAGTTGTCCATTTCTTCCTCTTTCAGGGTTCATCTAACTCTTACGCCATCAAGAAGAAGGACGAGTTGGAGAGAGTTGCCAAGTCCAACCGTTAAACATGTTTGCTTTCTAACTAAAATAAATTTTCAAGACATTTGTCGATTCCACGCATTTATGTGCTTCTTCACAATTGAATTCTGGGAACTCGAGTACCTGAAACAGACATACTTGGTGTACCTAATAAATTGCAAACTAAGCTAAAACTAATTCAACAGTCCTGCAATAAATTCTTGTACATGGTGATAATTTTTTGTCAGATGTTAGCATTTTGGCCACCCATTCATCTCGAGGCTAAGCTCAGTAGCACAAAGTGTTGACTCAGTACCTCAGCAGTTTCAGCAAAAACTGATGACCTTCATGAAGTTAGATTAGGCTACATTAGTTACAACCAGGTATACCTAACAAACTGCTGGGTAGATCACACAAAATCAAGGTGAATGGTACAAGTTATTGGCTTATTTTTATTCATCACTGTACCTTTCTACAAATTCATATAAGAAAGCTAAAGACAAAAATCTGCATTTCTTTACTTAGCAGCTACACATCCTGTAATTATCAAATATTTAAGTAATGAAATGTTTACCGACCTGTTTTATGGACGGACATACAATACACACACACACACCTGCAAATACGAATGTTGATAGTACAGAAAGCAGTGAATTCCGTTTCCTCAGACCTTCGAGTATTACAAAGCCTTGTAGTTTCTCTTGTGTTATCGGCACTGTTAATTACAATTTAGAATTTGACTTAAAAATTGTCATTGGGTATTAGCATCTCTACATTTTATGCCACTCAGGGCACATCAGCTGAATCATAAAAAATGTTATATACTGCTGGGAAGTACTGAGAAAATGTGACAATAAATCTAGGCCATATTGTCCCTGCAGGTTTTCCTTCATACGCTGGCCAAAACGGATTAAACTACGTATTAGTGTGAGATATGTACATACACACAGAGCCGATGTACCAGAGTCAAATTCCTCGTGTGTCCGACACACCTGGCCAGTAAAGTGGATTCTGATTAAAAATGACTAAAAGGTCTCATTTAGGGAGCTCTGCAGATACACTGTTACATTTATTTACCCTGTTTTTACCATTCTGCCCATTAAAAATGACAATGCAGTGGTGGTGCTGAGAAGTGAAAACGGTGCAGAACTACAGCTGAATTTAGTGGTTTTAGGGAAAGTTTTTGTCGCTGAGCTTTTGCGGGGGAGCTGTGCTGCACTGTTTGACCGGCAGGGCGACGCCCGAGTCAAACAGTTTGTTGATAAACAGATGTAGCATTCAACAGACAAGAATTTTACACAGGGAAGAGAGTTTAGTGATTTGGCCTGTGTCTGAGGCTCCCTCCACTCTGCCATGAATATGTGCAAGTAAACACTGTGCAACATACTGACTGGTAGAGGGGACTTTTCAGAAGTACGTATGCTTCCTGTTGATGAGGAGGCAGAGTGAAGACAAAGACGCTCCCAGTTTGGAGGCCTCGCTGCAGGCTGTAGGCAGGAGGGTGTAGTCCTGCAGCTTCTGGAAAGCCTGGAGAGATTACAGAGGAAGTGGTTTACGCACACATCACTGGCACAGATGGGACTGGATACACTTAAAGGAAGAAGTTAGCTAATCAAGGAAGGAAAAACTGGTTCACTGTCTGGAAATCATAGCAGAATGACAGCTCTTTAAATTACTTACAGGTGTCTACAGCTTAAACTGACATGCGCTTGAAAATCGTTCTCATATTTTGGATGCATATAATATGAAGTAGCAAGAAACCAAGCTAAGAGGGAGATTAACACTTCTTTGGTGTTAATCAGGAAAATAACTTCAACTCTCTTTCATGCAATTCTCAGCACAACTTTTTCTAATGCATCTCATGATTGTCCCTGTGCTGCGTCACAATTTTCTGATTTCCCAAGTGCTTAAAAAAAACTCAAAACTGTTAAGTCAACAGTGAGGGGTTGTGCTGTGAATAATTTCACAAAATGTTTCACCTTATGGAGCCAAAACTGTCACAGCAGAACTAAAAATAATTTGGATTATGCCATGGCTACTGGCTCTGATAAAATAAGATTATTACAATCCTTCAGTTTGACAAAGATGTGAGCCTTTTTGAATCCGAGACCTGCACAAAAAATAAAAAGGCAGCTATACTCACAGAGACGCTGTCAGGACATTCCTCTGCGGGCCTGTGGAGCAGGAAGTCCCGTTTAGATGGACCTTTGATGTAGATGCAGTTTGCTGCCGATTCCTCGGGGACAGTGAGCACTTCATAGTGGTGATCAGTCAGCTGCTCCATCATCTAGAGACAAACACAGGCTTATGTTACCACCCTACATGCTCAAACACTACAGCATCACACAGAGTCAAAGACAGTGGTGCGGTGGGTAGAGCAGTCGTCTCCCAACTGGAGGGTTGAAGGTTCGAATCTCGGTGCCTGCTGTCCACATGTTGAAGTGTCCTTGGGCAAGACACTGAACCCCCCCAAGCTGCCTGTGATGGCAGCACGTATGTAGTTCACGTTATCACAGAGAGTCAGACACTAACATAGACAGAAAGATGACATATGTATGATGATACTGAAACCAACGTGCACACACTCACCCGGAGAGTCTTCTTGGCTCCGTCGGCGTTGCTGAAGATGACCGTGTCCGGACCTCCCATGGAGCAGATGTTTTTCAGTCGAGCTCCTCCGCAGACAGGGACGGTGGACACAGCAAAGTCCTGGTTAAAAGCCAGGTTAACGAGGTAGGTTTGACATTTCTGTTTCAATATTACCAGACTGTTCCAACAACTTGTAGCATAAAAGCCACAAGAAAACCTGGACTGCTGAACAATTTCCTGTGAGAGAAACTGCAGACTTACATAAAACTGTTTCTGTGGTATCAGTAATGTTATTTTACTAAAAAATAAGCCTCGTGTCTATTTTAAGATTCCTTGTGTGAGATAGTTTCTCATGAGATAAAACATTGCATTCTTTATTTTTTCTAGCTTTAACTGAACATTAGATTTGAACAACGATGATAAATCCTTAACACCATGTAAAAAGAGGTTAACATTTTGTACACTGGTATTTTATGAATGAAAATAGAATGAGGTGCCTGAAAAGCCAAAGTAACAACTCTGAAACATGATACATACGGAGGATGTCTGAGCAAATGGTCTGCTGATCTTTCATCCCGTTCTGACCCCCCCCCCCCACTCATACAAGACTAATAAAGTACCAGCAATGTATGCGTGTGCCAAAACCAAACTGTGTAAAATGCACTTAGGAGAAGTGAAGGGATCAATACTAATGGGTGGGTTGTGTCAAGCCTGAGGAGCTCAACTGTGTGGTCTCCATTATTTGGCCAATGGAGTGACCTCATTCATCACTGTTTACAGACTGTATTGCATTTAGGGAATGCAATACAGCCAACAGCCACCTGCTCACTTTGGTTCGCCTTTGTTGCACTAGCTAAAAATTTCAAGATGCTTTAACATTTTCTGATAAATAATGTGGAAAAGGGACAGGATGTGATGGTTCTCTGCTACACTATCCTCCTACATGACACTCTACTGCCTATTTGAATGTTGACTGTAATATAACATTCCATTTCCGGGTCCAAACTCTCCCAGACACAAATGGTGGAGCCTGTCGCCCTCTACACAATAACATCTTGTTTCTCCCTTAATGAGGCATCCCAGAGTATTAAAAAAAACAAATACCATGACTACATTTGTAAGATTTAAATAGTCTGTGTCTGTCATTCTGCCAGGTAGCATAACAATCAATCTTTATTACACGTCATAGTACATTTATTCCAATACAGTTACATTTTGAGTTGTCCAAATTGTTAATAGTTCCCAGCTTTTTACTTTCATCAATTTAAAATGTGCCAATATATAGTGTTTACATTAAGTTCATGCTAATGTTACAGCAAAACAGTGCACTTTTAGAAGCCTTACTTTTATTCATTTAAGAATACTGTGACTTATCTAATCAACTGCAGCCATTTCTTGGGGAACACAACACTGTGGCATATGAAGAGAAGGAGCTGAAGTTTGGACCTGGAAACAGAATGTTACCTCACCACTTAACAGTGTTTTTAAAGTACAAGCTGGAAACTATCCCTTCCTGCCACCTAGTGGAGGTTTATAAGAAGTGTTTTTCAAGCCATGAGTAGTCATTTCAGACAACCAGGCATGGAGGACCTCTCAACAGCTACAAGTCTGAAATGGTGGCTGCCAGATTGAAGAGGTCACGTTCTTTTGCACAGAGAGAGTGGGACAAAGAAAGAGCCCAAACCAGTCAGCTAACATTAGACTCAGACTGGAGACTGCATTTTGTACAGTTTGTCACAACAAGACATCTGTAGTTTTCACCGTTGCTAGGAAAAAGGATGCGATGGCAAGACAAAGAGTGGGTGGAAGCAGCTAATGGCGTCACTTTTTCAAGCCTCAAACCCTCTAGACTGAAATAAAATAGTCAGTTTAAGCTCTATTGATTATTTTATGGTTTACTGGAGAGCCTTTGCCTGAACTTTCAAAGATCTTTCCCCATATAAGTTTACACCATAACCAGTGAATGCAATATTTTAAACTGACTGTGGCTTATATAGGTTTCTCAGAAGTAATTCATCCTGTCAAAAGGCTTTCAGCTAAACAACCGTTTTAAAACTACTGTCAGCCTCACTGATTCACACAGAGGTCGATTCTTTGATACACTTGTCCAGCCAGCATCTTCCCCTCCCATGTCTACTTACCCTAAATGTGTCTGCCAGCACCTCCGCCCCTCTGCAGTTGGTGTGCGAGGAAATACCAACAAAGAACTCCCTCCCTGTGAAGAGGACGTCACTGCCCTCCAGTGTGGCCCCTCCAGAGTCCCCCTCCTCAGCCCCCATCTCCACCACAGTCAGGTTCAGCTCCGACATCACTCTCCTCACTGCCTCCACCTGAGGAACAGTGGAAAACATGGATGAAAAGAATAAGGGAAGACATTCAACTTGACTCACTGCAAGAGTTTGATTAAAAAGGTGCACACACACCCATCCATGTGGTTACTTCCCCTTCAGTGTACTCTAGGAATTTGTCATTTGTGAACTATTTCCTACAAGTTTTCAGAAAAGAACTATGGGATTTACTACACCAAACTGGAGTGTTTTTTTTTTACCTAGCTGTAAAAACAATTCAGCATACACTTGTCCATAATAAATTAAGAATGAATGTTTTCTTGAGTTTTACTGTAGCTGTTCTTTCAAGAAAATTCCTATTTTGTCTACATTTAGGACCAAATTACATGGTTCATTCCACTGAACAACAAATAAAAGAAATCATGGACATTATAAAAAGGGTGATTTGACTTGTATTAACAAGATTATTTTTCCCAGTCTACTCTTAAGTGTCAAGATTAAGTTCATTATCAGAAGATTAGAGGTTCACAAATGGGTCACTAAAGCCATTTTTCCTTTCCCCTGTTACCTCGCTGCGTCTCTGCTGTTTGAAGGGCCTGGTGATGAGCGCCGTGTCTCCCTGGATGACTGCCACATCCTCTATCCTCCAGCTCTCTGGCAGTTCAGGGTCAGGGGGGATCTCAATCAGCTGCAGGCCCACCTTCTGCCTCAGAGCTCCTGTCAGGCAACCAAACTGACGCTGAGCTTTGGCCAGGTCCACCGAGGTCTCCCCGTTCTCATGACCATCTCCCACAGCCTTCCCAAAGGTCTCGGGCATGCCCCGCACCACAGCGTGGGTGAAGCGGCCATAAGGGCACATGTTTGCCATGTTTTCAATAAAGACTGCCTGTATTTAACAAACAGTAGCAAGTATAGGGGCTCTGACAAAATGCCAATAAATGTGCTCTACAAGGAGACGAGGTAATAAAAAAATGTATACAGCTATTGTTTGCAGCTTTTTCACAGTCTGGTCTTGTAGAAACACCAGCTGAACTCTAAATGAAGCTGATGGGATGGATCAGAAGGTCCAGGAGAAAAGCAGAGAGCATTATCAGCCCTGTCTGTCTGATCCTTCTTTCATTCCAGCAGCTATTCCCTCATCTGCAGATACCAAGATGTGGAAGCAGATGATCCCAATCTAAAACAGAGGAAAATGGACACATCAAGGGGGACAAATGAGGTTCAGGTTTGAGCTCTGGTGCAACTACAGTCCATTAGGGGCCATGTGCCTTTCTACTCTGAGGTATAAATATCTACATGAATGTTTTGGTGATTTCAGGTTGTACTGAAATGAAGACTGCACATATTAAATTGTACTTATGTGACTTGGCATTTGTTAGACTTTAAAAAGAAACTAAACCAATTCATCACACATAAGGGCAGCTGAAATAACACAAACAGATAACAGCTGAAAGTAGAGAAAGGAGCATTGTCCAGGGTTACATTATAAGGAAACACTGTTCAATGGCCCTGCAATATGCTGCAGCGCCTTCCCATATTTGGACAGTGGGTTAGATTTGGGACAATTGCCCTTTTATCATCTTCCCTCTAACTCAGCAGGTCAACAGCGTGGCTCACTGTGAGGATGCAGGCTTCCACACAGGGTCTTTCCTGAATCTGCTTCATAACTTATGCAACAAGTGTTGGGCTTAGATGTTGTTTATTTTGTTGACAAGCATGAAACGTATGTTGAGAGGCCAAGTTACCCTATTACCCTAATTTTGTGTATTGCGGTTTTAATGCTTTGTTGCCTTTATGTAACTTTTCTTATTTTAAGACTAAGTGTTCGTTCTGGCTTTTGACTCCTTACCCTTGACTTGAAGTTTAGTCAAATCAGAGTTAAAAGAGTTTAACTTAAGACTTGTGTGTTTCTGGTAGATATTTTTCCATAGGCAACTACGTAACCCTTTGGGTATGTTTGTAAAGCTGCAAAACATCTTGCACCGCCCAGCAGTTCAACGCTCCTTCCCAAACACTTCTGATGATGTTCCACAATTTCCTAACGGGAATAACTATCGGCAACAGTCACAGAAGCTGAACAAATAACAAGTACGAATGTAAAACTCGGTCTGCTTACCTGTTTTACGTGTCGCCTCTCTAGAATTTGCCGCGTTGCCCTTTGTTTGATTTAATTTCGACAACGTCTTCCTCCCGTTATCCTCTGCTCCCCGTTCCCTTTCCCTGCTGACCAACTGCGTGTCAAGATGGCGACGATGAGCTGCCTAGTTCCGGTTATGCGTTTCAAAATAAGAAACCTGCGCGGAACACGTTATTTGCATCATAGTCAAAAGTGAAGTTTAGGTCGTTACAAAAAATGAATAAAATTGAGTGTTGAATGGTTTGGCACACAGAACAAGTAATCTGAAGACGTCACTTTAGTTTTTTCTTAACTGTGATGAGCATTTCTCTCAGTATGTTTTGGAAATTTAAAGAAAGAACAAAAGAAAAATTAATATTAATCAATATTAAGTGATAAACTTCAGATTGAGCACATTTTTCAATACAGGATATCCGACTTAATTTGAGTTCTTCCTCCTCCACTGGTTGTGTCATCTCCCATATAGTTTAGAAAATAACTACATCCAGTTTTATTAAATTTAATAGCTAATATAATAAAAGTCAATGGTGGAGTATGCACTGTATGTATGCATGTTAACCTATGGTGACCGCTATCCTCTTATTTTATAAAGCAGAATCAAGGAATTTCCGGTCTTCTCCGTGTATTTAAAGTTAGTTTGACAGAGCTTTCCCACCCTTTCAGCCCAGCATCCCCATCCCCCACACGGCCTGTCCGGATTCAATCAACGTTGATCTGAGCTACCACGGTTGTTGTATTGTCTCTCTTTAGGTAGGCCTACTGCTGACTGGTGGTGGCCGCAGCAGTACAGTGGTAATGGCGACTACTATACAAGGGATATATTACTGAAACATTGTCTGTTAAAGTTTAGGGCTGTATTGGAGAGCTGCAAGTACATTAACACAGAAACAATCAAAAACATCACTTTAATAATGTGAACTTGCATTAATCCAACTGGTTTTAGTGACCAAAAGATAATAACAGGCTACATGTTACAATATTACCTGGATGTGACCTTAGCACTGGGGTCACAAATTGACCTACATGCCCTCAAACTTCGCCATTAAGTTAACTTGTAGCTTTTAAACCTAGTTTTTAAGTTAAATGACAATAACTGCCTATTTGCCTTTTAAGGGAAAGAATGTATTACTTAATCTAACAGTGTTAGTGATGATAATTTGCAGGGTACTAGGAGTAAGCAATGCCTAGATGATGAAATCCCTGCTTTGGCCACATTTAAGCCCATGCTGACACCCTTTCCTTGTAATAAAGTTTTTTTTTCTTGTTTTTTTTGTCTATTAGGTTTTCTAGGATTTAGGACTCTTATTTTGTTTCCCCTCTGTAATCCTGATGAATGGTCAGGTACTGTATCAGTAGCCCTTCGTCTGCATCTGCCTTTTAAAAATAGACTGTCTGCAGTGAATCAAATAAGTCAATAATCTTCTCACCTCTCCTATAGTGGTTGAACAAGTGGCTACATTAATCAGGCTAACAGATGATTTATTTTACCTGACTAAACAATAACAAGCTCATCACATTCACTTGTCTCTGTGTGTTTAAAGTCCTATTGTGTGTCTGTTTTTTTTATGTTTGACATGACTAAAAATAATCTGGGTCAGTTGATTCTGGACACAGTTGAGATGGTTGGATACACTGTTGTCTCATGGGACACCAGATAAAACGCTGTTTTGTGCATCCTTTTAAACAGCAGTCTTGTGAATTGTGCTGCTAACCAAACTTTTTCTGCTGCTGGTATTTGCACTGATATAAACGTGCATAAACACATGCTAGGCAACAATGGGTGTGATTGTTATATAAACACGTGCTCAGGCTTTTGTGACTACTTTTTGATTCATAAGATACTGCAGTCAAGGTTGTGTCAGGGATGCAGTGACAAAGAAGAAAGATACAGCTGTGTGTATATCTGTACGCAGGGGATGAGAAATGTGAAGTTGGTGTAATAGTAGAGGGAAATGTGGAGGGACAGAGGGGGATGAAGGATGGGATGTAGAGGTCACAGACAGGATTAAAGAACACCATCTGTCCACTAAGATCCTTCAGCCGACACAAAACATCCCTGTCAAATATAGCTTCAGCAGGTTCGCCACTGTCTGTGTGCAAACAGCCAGTCCATAGCTGATAAGTGACATGTAGTGAGATTAGACACTATTTCTTAGCTACTGCACAGCTGAAATATGGAGAATCATCCAACTGTATTGAACCAAATCTGAGTTTTAATTTGAATTATATTTGCTAAACAATCAGGTGATAAACAGTTTATACAGTCTGAGCTTGTCTGGCTCACTCCATCACAAGACTGCTGTCAGCAGATCACACTGCGTGACACCCTCACATCCCCCATCCGATCCTAACGGATAATTTGGTTAAACTTGCTCGCTGTCCAGCTCACTGACATGCTGACTTTCTCTCTTAGTTTCCCTCTCCATCTAATGCTGACTGTTTCCACACTGTGCTGATTTTACCGTCTGTCTTTTCTGCTTTTTAAGCCCTCTCCACAGCAACTGCTGTCTCACACAGCCAACACCTAAGGAGTGTAGGAGTGCTGGGCAGAACATGGTGGGGATTGATTTGAAGTTTCATGCTAGAGTTACCTCAAGTTACATACTGTAGCATTAATGCCTGTTTGCTGCAGGGGTTTCAATTTACTTCTTTTCACTTCCATACAAAATATGTAATTTGCCCAAACTGTAGACTTTAAAAGAACAGGCCTATGTCCTTTTATCTGTATATCATTAATGATAACGATATAGTGATTCTAATAAAACTTTAACACACCACTTCTCACTACATGTTTTAAAGTTAAAGGTGACACTGTCTGAGATTCAAGTGTACTACTTGTATTAGATGAGACGTTTTGCACCATTTTGTACACTCTGACCATCTCAGATTACCTTCGAAGAGTGAAAATAAAACACGCCTGATTTATTATCAAGAAATTTTTATTGGGACATTAATAAATGCATCATTGCAAAAGCTTTAAAATACAAAACACATTTCATTTGATTGTCTTCACGGTTGATTTAAAGCTACAGGGTTAGGGTCACACCGCTGTCCTGTGGACTTTTAAGTGCAACTGCTTTTGACTACATGGCAAAAAAAAAAACAATGTAAAAAAGCACATTATGGGTCCTGCAAGTAACAAAATAAATAGTTTGAATTTAACAGTTCAAAACTGTGAAATAAAAGATGAATGAAAGTAATGTTTTAAATGAATGAAACAAGATAAATTGTCCCTGAAATTGTATAAAATCTGAAAGTGGAAAACAAAAAACATTGAAATTGTTCAGACACAATCCTTTGAAACATCACTCCACTTTAGAAAACTGATGAAAAATCACAACAATTCAGTCAAAATATAAAATCTTCTGAGCAACA